GGAGCAAGCTGTAGCTCAGAGATGTGAGGCAGCATGGAGTGGAGGGGAAGCCCGGGAATTTACCAGGCAGAGGGTCGAGAATGGAGAGGTCCCCAGGGCCCCATCTGCCAGAGTCTTGAGTGGACTGTGTTCTGTAAGCGGCAGGGAGTAGAGAGGTCAGGTCAGCATTTTGAGAGCTGACTCCAGGTGCCCTGGCAGAGATGAGTTTGAGCCTCCGTGGAGTCATTTGGGTGAGAGCTGGAGTCATCTCAACAGAGCCGGGGGCCCAGGGGATGGAGAGGAGAGGTCACGCGTGCAGCGGTGGCTGACACGACTGGGTGAGGGGGTGAGGGAGTTGCAGCCTCGAGACAGGGAGCCCTGGGAGGAGCGGGCTCAGGCAGGAGGAGCTGCGACCCACTTGGTGGAGTTCGAGGTGCCTGAGGGGCTCCAGGTGGACAGGTCCAAGGAGCAGCAGATCTGTGAGGCTGAGCCTCAGTTTCCCCATCTGCAAAACGAGAAGCATGGGCTGGGCCGTCTCCAGGATTCATCTGCAGCTTTTCCTGTCCATGCGCCCATGGACAGGCAGCACCAGTCAGTCCTCCCCAGGACACCGGGTGGGCACAGGCCTGCTGAACCGCGGAGCTCGGCACGAGCGCGGGCATGGGGAAAACCGTCCGGGGCTCGAGCTCTGTTTAGGAGGCTCTGAGAAGCCCTTCTCCGTGTCGCTCATCTCACGTGCCTTCTCGGCACGGGGTGTGGGGGCGCATGTGTGTGTCATATCACCCCCCACTTCCACTTCCACACAACCCCTCCTAAAGGGGAGTGTCACCATTCCAGACCGGGAAAAAAGGTGTTTTGGACCTTTTAGAAAGATGAGAGAACATAATACTGGATATCTCCTAAAATCAACCATGTGAATTGTGAGCTGTTACAATTCCGGCCGCTATATAAAAACCACTTTTCTCAATATTGAAACCACAACAGTGAAACTGCGCATTACATGAGGAGCGCCCTAAGGCCCTGTGAGCCTTCGAAGGGGTTTCGTTAATGGGTGATTGTGAAGAGTGCATCTTCAGGGGTCACACAGACCTGAGTTCAAATCCCACCTCTGCCATTTGCTAGCTCTGTGATCCCAGGCAAGCGGCCTGAGTCTCTGTTTTCTCAGGTGTCAAGTGGGGATGGTGGCGGTTTCTGCATCTCAGAATTATATGATGCAGTACACCAGACATCTGAACACAGTGCCAGGCACACAGGGACACTCAACATGGGGTAGCTATTGCTGGACCTGGGGGAGGAGGCAGCGAGGAGTCAGAATACACTGAGTGTCGAAACTCATTTTGGAGGAGTCTGGAGCATGAGCTGGAGATGCCCAGGGTCCTAGGGACAGAGACCCTCACTTGATAGGTGGGGGCCCAAGCTAAGAGACCTGGCCTGTGGGACCCAGGGTTACCAAACGATTGCAAAAAAGACTACCCTCGAAGATTAAAGAAATTGCGCCCATGAGTGTATTATTGTGAAAGTTCATTTTTATTAAGAAAGAATGATAGAAGCCTGTAAAGTCGTCAAGACTGAGGCTTAACAGCCCTGTAATGACATTTCATGCTTTCAGAGAACTGTATTTTCTCAAAGAACTGTCACAACTGTTATTAATCAAGACAATTCTTCCTAAGGAAATAAAAAAAAAGTAAGGTATTCTTACACTGAGGACTGGGGTCAGCAGGCTGGACTTGGGGTCGCCGAGGCCATGTGTGTGTGTGCGTGTCTACGTGTGCATGTGTGTCTATGTGTGCGTGTGTGCGCGTCTGTGTGTGTGTGTGTGCCTGGAAGGAAGAGAGGAGCTCTCCTCGCTCCCCTCCGCTCTTCCCCAGACCTCTGCGAGGCGTCACCAGGGGGAGCCAAAGGGCCCTGAGGGACAGCGGTCCTGCCAGCCGGCTCAGCTTCCCCAGGGGGCACAGAGGATGGAGGTGGCCAGAGAGAGCGGGCAGCTGGATGCACTCCCCAGGGACCCGTCAAACAGCCGAAGAATCTTGACCCACTCCCTGGAATAATACGAACTCTCAGTCAAGTGCTGTCCGTCTTGTTTCTTTGTCCATTCCTTCCCTCATTCATTCAACTATCATTTCTTAGGCTCCAGCTAGGAGCTGTGGCCCCAGACACGGATCAGCTATGAGTCCCACCTTCAGGTCCCACCTCCCCCTAGTCTGGGAGGAAGCAGATGTGAAACCCAGGGTGAGCTGGAGTCTGATGGGGGAGCCCAGAGGAGGCCCTACATCCCGCTTGGGGGCAGGGGTTGGGGTGTGGGCCGAAGAGGAGGGGTGAGCCTTGTGAAGAAGAGAATGAAGGGTGCTCCTGGCAGAGGAAGACACACAGGCAAAGGCTCAGGGATGTGAAAAGCAGGATGTCTGTGGGACCCTCTTTGCCAGTGGTTTGTGGAGCTGGGACCGCTGGGGAGGGCATGGGGCACCTGGTTAGCCCCACAAAGTGCTCACAGGTTGTTTGAAGGTGATGGGGAGGCTTAGAGTGTTCCTTCCCAAAGTGATTCATCCCTGGGCCTCCATTCTCCCAGCTCAGTCTCCAGAGGCTGCGAGACCGCACGGCTGGAGCCCCGGCCTTCGGGTCCTCACCCCGCCAGCCCGTCCCACCCGCACAGACCACAGTTTCTGCGAGCAGCCCTCCATCTTGTCACTGGCACACACATGCAGTGCTTTACAGTTTGCAAAGCGCTTCGAGAACATTCACTCCTCGGTCCCCCCCCTTCTCCCGTGGACCTTGGCACATTCTCTTGTCCAGCAGGAAAATCTCCTCTTCACACTTCATGCCCAGCTCTAGGGTCACGTGCCCTGGAAGGCCTCCCTGACTGCCCCGGGGCTGAAGTGACCACCTCTTTCTCTGCCCTGTAAGCCACTCCTTTAGTGCGTTCATGGGGGGCTTACAAGTTCCTCTCCTCTCCACCTCCCTTCTCCCCTGTTCCCCAACAACTCCTCACAGACCATGACCTCCTTCCGGAAGGACCACTTTTTCTGTGTCTGCACACTTTAGAAGGGGCAGGCTGGGGACTAGGACTGGGTATGTGTGAGAGCTGCCCCCGGGCTGCAGGGGTCCCCAGCCTAGCAGCCCATTGCCCTGCCTCCATTCCCTCCTTGATTTGGGGGAACAGAGCCTGGAAGAAGGTTCCCCTGCTGCCATCAAGCTTGGGGGCACCTGGCCAGGAGTGGGGGTCCCCGATGAAAAGGCACATTAAAGGACATTGTTTCTAGTCGGTTAGACCCCCTTGAAAGGACTCTCTCCCCTCAAACTTACGTGTCTTGCCCTAGTACCTAATGCATAAGACATGTGTGGTTCTGAGGGAGCTTTCGCCCCGAGAAACCCAAAGCCACACAATTGGGAAGAGGACAAAGTACAGCCTGATAACAGGGTCTCCCAAATTAAGCCACCAGCCAAGAGCAACCGTGCAGAAGGAAATGTCTGGGGTGATGGGGGGAGCGGCTCAGTGGAGGCAAAGTGCAGTGCCTGCTTCTGCTGATTCCCAGGCAGCCATGGCTGGCCCTTTCAGGTCCCCTCATTTGGGGAACCCCTCCCCTCAGCCACCAGGACAGTGTCACAAGCTGTTTACAATATGAAGTCAGATTGGGAACAAGGACGCTGCACAGATCGAACTTTCCAGTGCTGAGGAGACCCTCTACAGAAGGTTGTGCGAGGGTGTGTGTGTGTGAATGTGCGTGTGCATCTGTGAGAGAGGCTGCACGTGTGAAGCGTGTGAATGAACGTGAGGGTGTGATTCTGTGTGTGTGAGAGCATGCGCCTGTATGTCTGAGGGTGTGTGTTGGAAGGTGTGAGTGTGGAGTGTGTGTGTGTGTGTGTGTGTCGGAGGCAGGGAGGGGAGCTGGTGTGGAGAGGAAAGTTGGGCGCACACTGGTGCAGGCAGAGTGGACAAAAAGAGGAAAGCCTTGTCTTTGAGTCGGGCCTGGAGGGCAGGAGAAGAAAAAAGGAGCTCTTATTGGTGGTTGTCAAGGAGATGGGCCTCGGGGTTTGCTGAACTTTCTTGCTCAAAGCGTCCTGCCTGGGGCTGAGAGGGGCCATTTATTTCCAGCCGCGCCTCCCTGGCGAGGGTCTTCCGACTAGGCCCCCAAGGCGGACAGGCGTCAGGTGTGGACCGCAGGCCAGGCCAGAGCAGTGACGAATCTGGGATGCTCCTCTGCCCCCAGCCCACGCCCCGGCTGCGTCTGTCACTGGGGAGGCCCCAAGCTTCGCCTCCTGGGGACATCCGACTTCGCTGGCTGAGAGGTCAGCCCCGCAGCGGGCCGCGCCGGCGGGCCTGACAGCAGAGTGGGACTGCCCCACGAGGAGCCTCCCTGGCGCCCCCTCCAGACGCGGATTCTGCGGATGTCCTATGACAAGCACACTTAGGGGCCATTGTCCATTGGGGAGTGCTAAAAAGTTCATTTGTTTTGAACGTAAATTTTAAACCTATCTTTACGATTTTTTTCTCTGTCTGCCTTGTTCGCCGCCGCATTGCCAGCGCTTGGCACACAGTAGGTGCTCAATAAACAGTTCCCGAAGGCTGAATGTACGATGCCGCTTTGCGCATTTACGTTTCCTACCTTACCAATAGATGCCGCCGACCTGTCCCGACCTCGAGGGCCGGGTGGCAGGCCCCCCTTCCCCGGGTGTGTGTGTGCTGGGGGGTGGATGTTGCCCCCGGAGGGGGGCCACCCTAGACGACCGGGCCAGGGGGCCGGAGGGAGGGAGCAGCCTCCGAGCAAGCCCCAGCCTGGCCGAGACCGTGCACCCCGCGGCCGCGCGAGCTGGCCCGGCCCCCACCCCCCCCCCCCCGCCGCGGCCGGGAGAGGAGGGGGCGCCCCCGGACGCCCGCGCCCGCCTCTGCCCCTCCCCCCCGCCCCCCCGGACTGGCGGCTGGCGCCCATTGGCCGGCCGCACTCGGCGCCCCGCCCCCGGCGGCCGCGGGCCAATGAACGCGCGGCTGTCAGCTCGTCAGCCCCGCCGGCTCGGTGGCTGCGAGCCCGAGCGGTGGCCGCGGAGCCAGCAGCGAGGAGCGCTCGCCGAGCGGCCGGTCGGTGGGGTCCCCGCGCCCCGCACGCCCGCACGCCCGGCCCGGCCCGGCGCGGCCCGCAGCTAGCATGGGCGCGGCGGCCGTGCGCTGGCACTTGTGCGTGCTGCTCGCCCTGGGCGCGCGCGGGCGGCTGGCGGGGGGCAGCGGGCTCCCAGGTAAGCCCCGACCCGGTGGGCGGCGGGCGCGGGCGGCGGCGCCGGGGTCCTCGGCTGGCTCCCAGCACCGCGCCGTGGGGAGGGCTGCAGCCCGCGCGCCCCGCCTCGCCTCTTTGCAAAGTAACTTCTGGGGCCGGCGCGGGGCGCCCCCTCCCCGCAGCCCGGGCGGCCCGGGGCACCCCTCCCTGCAGCAGGGCGGGATGGGCTGAAGCCCCGGGGGAGGGGCGGTGAGGGCGGGAGGAAGAAAGAAAGCGCGACGGCCTGCCCAGGGGGCCCGGAGCGCCGCCCGAGGGCGGGAGGGAGTGGGGACCCGGGAGCCCGACGGGTGCTCCCCCAGGGAAGAAGGGAGCGCGGGCGGAAGGAGACCCAGAGGGGAGACCGGGAGGAGGTGAGCGGCGAAAAAGGACGGACAGAGAGAAAGGGGGGGAAGGTAGGAGATGGAGGGACAGACGTCCGGACAGAAAAGGAGGCACAGAGGGAACACACAAAAGGACGCAGGAAGAAACCCAGAGAAAGACAGACATGGAAGAGTAGCGAAGAGACCAGAAAGATCGAGGGGGAAAGGAGGAAACCCAAAGGAGGGAGAAGGAGGCAAATGAGCAGCAGGAAGGAAGAAGATGAAAAGAGGGAGACTTGAGGGACGACTAAGGGGTGGGAAGGAAGAGAGAGAGGAGCGATTGAGGCAGATGGACACCAGAGAAAGAGACGGGAGAACTGGGGGTGGGGGCGGGGAGGGAGGAGACAGAGGGAAAGAGAGGAGGATGGAGATGTCTGGGGGGCGGTGGACAGATAGACAGTCAGGCAGGAGGGAGAGGACAGACAGATAGACACAGATGGAAGGGAATGGATGAGAACCAAAGGGAAGGGAGACCAGACGTCGTTGAGGAGGTCCAGGAGGGGGAGGAAGGAGACGCCGGAGGAGGAAATGGGCTTCAGAGGGGGGATAGGGCATGGGGCATCAATGGGTTTGGGCAGGCAGTAGAGGCGAGGTGGGGATGCCCCATGGGTTTCACAGGACCCCTGGCATTCCTGTCCCTTCCCCTCCTGCTCTCTTGGTTGTCTAGAAGGGGCTCTCCCACAGAGCTCCTCCCATGTCCCTTGTCCCTCAGAGGAGCTTCCTCCCAGTCTCTCCTTGATGGGGACCGTGGGGGGAGGGTCCTGCCTGCCCCTTCTCCCCTCTCCTTGGCTTTCTCTGGGCACCCCTGGCTGCAGCGCTGGGCTCCCTGAGGTCTGGGTTGGTCATCAAAGGAGCCTGTTCCTGGGAGTCCACCCCTGAGTGAGGATGTCAGGTCATTTAAACCATTCCACAATTGGAGCCGAGCTGGTTTTCACGTGGCCCCCCCAGGAAGCTGGACTCTGCTGCCCACACCCCCACCTGACTGTGGGTGTCTCTCCCCGGCTTTAGGGTCCTTCACCCCTGCTTGGTTGTTCCTGTGCATGCCTCTCTCCAGCTCTCTGTCTCTTCTCTGTGTCGGTCTGCGTCTGTCTCCACCCCTCACCCCCACCCCATGGAAGCCTTGTGCTGAAATGAACTAAAGTCAAAGCAAGCAGCCTGGATGGGAGGGCTGGGCTGCCCTACGGAGGGAGTCCCAGCCCAGGCCGGGAGCCGTGGGGACACGTGGCCTGTGGCTCCTCTCCCTCTCTCCTCCAGCTCGCCTGCTCTCTCCCCAGCCACCACCCAAAGCCATGCTTAAAATGTGTTGGGAGGTGCCCTCACCACCCCTTGGCTAACATCCACCCATTTCCACGCCACAAGGACACCTACCTAGGTAGAGGTTTGGGTTCAGGGGCACAAGGGGCTCCAGAGCCCTGGGCAGTTTCCCTCCCCTCATTCCTGTGCACTGACCCTTGGGAAGTGGAAAGAGCCGCATCCTTGGCCTGGTGCCCCTGCTGGTCCTGTCTCAGAAGTGTCCCCAGTCCTCGCCCGTGGAAGAATACAAGTGGCCCTCTCTGGCCCCTGGCTTCCTGCCCTTGAGGCTGTGGCAACCCTGCATGGGGGACCCTCTGTTGTCACCTCCCCAGAAGAGGATGTTCCGGTGGCCCGATGTTCCTACTGGCCCCTGGCCACCTGACGGCTGGTTCTGGTCTCTGACACTGACTGCCTCCAGGCCCCCAGTCCACCTTCCTTTGGGCACCTGTACAGGGCTGTGGATGGACTGCTGACCTGAGCAGATACAGCCACCCTGAAAAGTGACGCTACCTGCTGTGCGCGTGTGCGTGTGTGCATGTGTATGTCTGTGTGCAGGGAGGTGATTCTCTGTGCTTCTTTTTGATGCCTCTCTTCCTTTAGGGGCAGGCTGGACCTTTGGGGACTGGGGCAAAGGAGGAGGAGTCCTCGGGGAGGGTGATTCTCTTAGAGAGCCCCCCCCCCATGCAGATTCAGAGCCCACATGTCAGCCAGGGAGTCATTCAGAATGGACATTCTTGAGGACCGGACAGTCTAGGGTGAGCCTGGAGGCTTGAAGAGAGGAGGGCATTCCAGGACTTCCCCAGGCTGGCCCCTGGGTGACTGCCCTCAGGATGGCTGCTGAGAGTTCCTCGTGGTGCCCTTCTGGGTCCTTCTGTCTGTCTGTGCTCTGTATTTTATGCATAGCTGGCCGGAAGTAACCTGGCATGTAGAAGTGCCTGGACCTGCTTCTCGTATGTCTGAGACCAGTCTCTGCCCCTAATGAGCTCCTGAACTTCACCAAACCTCTCTCGGCCTTGGTTTCCTCAGCTGTAACCTGAGGAATTAACCTGAATTACAGCTAAGGATCTTCCGGCTGTGCTATCCTGTGCCCTGAGGGTCCCCTCCCTGTCTGAGCTGTGTGTGTGCATGTGTGTGTGTGTGTGAGAGAGAGAGAGAGAGGGAGAGAGAGAGTGTGTGTGCGGAGGTGTATGCACGGATATACGGAATCTGTGTTGCGTTGTTTGCCCGACGGCTGTCCAGACTGAAGGTGTGTATGTGTGTGTTGGGGCAGGAGGTGGGGAGTGCCGGGAGCCCTCACAACCTCGACTAAACTGGAGTCTGGAAGTTGGGATATGGGAACCAGGCTCGTACTGAGATTTCCAAGGTGGGGAGGAGAGAGGACAGGAGGTCAGAACCATCCATGAGCCAGGTTAGCCCAACTGAGGATCCCCCCAGTCTGGGGAGGCGAAGGCTAGCCGAAGAACCCTGTATCTCCACAGCACGGAAGCTGGGTGGGGTCCCATGTTCAGACCTGCTTGCTTAGCCTCTGCTCACTGTCCCATGCCAACCTGTGTCCCCATCTGTAATGCAAAGGGGATGGATTTAAATTCCTCCAAGGATGCTTCTGGCTCTAAATTCTAGAATAAAGAAAGTGGAGGAGGGTTGGAGCGATGCTTGTGGGGAGAGCAAGACACACAGAGAGGCTTTTCCTTGCTGTGCTTCTAAGCCTCAGTTTTCGTATTCTTTTAGTGGGAATAGTAGTTCTACTTAATGGGATGGTTGTGAAAATAAAGGAGAGCCAGCATCTTGGTAGCTTTGTACCTAGCACAGAGTAGCTGCCCCAAAGATGCTACCAGTCACTGCTTGTCACACCAGATTATCATGTGCCAGCTGTTGCTGCTGATTACCCCAATGATCAGTGGAAAGACGGGAGGCAGAGGGACTCCCTGCCTGCACCGTCACTGCCTGCTGCCCGGGCCACTGCTCACCTGTTGTTCCCTCCCCATACAGGAGCAGTGGATGTGGATGAGTGCTCAGAGGGCACGGACGACTGCCACATCGATGCCATCTGCCAGAACACACCCAAGTCTTACAAATGCCTCTGCAAGCCAGGCTACAAGGGGGAAGGCAGGCAATGTGAAGGTGAGCCCGGCCCAGCCCTCCTGGCCAGACCCCGCAGCTGCCACGGCTGCCATCGGTGGCCGCTGCCTGCCCCTTGTCATGCCAATGGGGGCTAAATCTCCAGGGCTCGCCCCCCATGACTGCCGCCAGCACAGGTCCCCCTCAGCCTTGGGCTGTGGGCTTCCTGGGAATGCAGGCTACTTCCCAGGGAAGTGGAATTTGGAGTCATGGGGTACCTAACTCTCCCCAGGTTTGGAACTTTTTGTTGTTTTAAAGAGATTGAAAGGAAGCATTGAATGATCTATTTGTCTATCCGTCCCTGACTGGATGTGGGAGGGGTCAAGGCCTTGAGTGATATCCCCCCAAGGTCCCTAACTTCAAATCTGAAACTGACCTGTGTGGCCTGCAGCTTCCCCGCAACGTGCTGCTCAGTAGCTGTCCACCGCTCTCGTGGGGCTGGCTCAGCTCCCTGTGTGGAGTAGGAGAGCTTGGGCAAAGCCTGGTGCATTTGTATCGTCGGCCTGCCTGTCCAGCCTTCCTTCCCTGTACCTGAGGTGCGGGTCTGAGCATCCGGCACTAGAAACTGCAGTGCCTGGCCAGCTCCCTGGCAGGCTGAGAGTCAGAGAGAGAAGAGCAGCCACAGCTGTCTTTGGAGCTAGGACTCTCCTGGCCAGATGGGACCTTTGGGAGCATTTGTCCAGGACGGTCTGATTGCAGGGGCTGGGGCAGGGCCTGGCATCCGGAGGCTGGAAACAGCTCTCTCCACGGCTGATGTGCAGCCCTGGGGAAGGAGCACTGATTCAGATCTTCACTATCTGTCCCCACTTTATAGATGAGGAACAGTGAGGCTCAGAGAGGAGAAGCATCTTCTACAAAGTCCAAAGTGTGGCATGGCCCATACTCAGACCCAGGTCTCTTCATTCCCTCTCCACAGGTCCCGAGCATCTCCTCGTCTTCTCCCTGAGCCCCACCCCAGCTTACTCTTTCAAAGTGTGAGATTTGTGTTAGGACAGTGACATGTGAGAACACAATGGCTGCCTGTTCCTTCGGTATCAGGGTTTACAGCAGCTGGAGTTTTGTAGGAGATGCTGTTGCGCCTCCCTGGGATGCTGACATTGTTTATCCATCTCATTTGTTGGGCATCTACTTAAGACTGAGTGCTGGGCAGGTGACATCGTCCTGGGTCATGTCTGGTTTGGCCACATCCCTGGCCTTGCTGGGGGCCCAGAATCCTGAGTGGGGGGAGCTGGCAGCTACCCACAGACCTCTGGAAGGAGGCCAGGCCGGAGGCAGGTAGACCATGTCGTGGGCAAGAAGCCTGGTGGCACAGGCTGGCCGGGATGCTGGCAGGGCCTGAAGGTTAGCGTGGTGGTTCCAAGTGACACGTGCGAACCTTTTCTGACTCCCTGCTCCCCCCGCCAGGACCAGTGCACTGGCCAATGAGGGCCAAGGGTGACTGCCCCTCTCTGCTGGTTTAAGCCACTGACTGGCCTGTCCTTCCTCCAGCCCAGCTCCTTCGGTCCTCTCCTGCTGTCCCTGCCCAGGAGGCCCATGCTGTGTCTCCCGCCTGTTTCCCTGAAGTCCTTCAGAGTCTGACATTGGCTGTCCACTCTGCCTGGGCCCAGGGTGGGAGTTACATCCCTGTCTCAGGGGGCCTGACATCCTCAGCGTGAGGATGAGAGAGGAGGAGTCTTGTGAATGTGCTTCAGGAACTGCCAGGGGCCTCCCTGTGTCTCCAGCCTGGCTCCAGCTCCTGCTCCTCACCTCCTGATACACTGAAGCACCTGTGTCCTGGCCACACACACACACACACACACACCAGGCTGTTCCATGTTTCTGAGACCCAGCTCAGGTTTTCCCCCTGCCTGGAGCTCCTTTCCCTCACTTTGCATCTTGGCTAATTCCTAACCATGCTTTAGATTTTTCCTCCTCCAGGAAGCCTTCTGTGATACCTCCACTTCCACACAATTACATACACACACACACACACACACACACACACACACATATAGCTGCATTAAGCACCTACTGCTCCCAGAATCCCCTGGCTTCCCTTCATCCCAGCACTTCTGACTCTGGCTTATAATTATGTGTCCTGCTCCCCCACTGAACTGTGAGCTCATTTGTCGAACGTCTGCCATGGGCTTGGTGTTGGGGCCACCACACTGAAGCTGTCAGACTTGGGCTCTGCCCCCAGGGACCTCACAGTGAGCTCCTGGACTGCAGAGAGCCTTTTCCTGTTTGTCCCTGTGTTCCCAGCTCCTGGGGCAAGGCCTGGCGCTGGCCAGGGTGTGTGGAAGATGTTTAGTCTGAGCTGGCCCTCTTTTGCCCAGACTGGAGTTCACATTAGGTGAGCAACCTGTAAGACGCCCCAAGACGGGAGAGGAGGACGGCATGGGAAATGTGGGGTGCTGGGTCCATGGAGGGCTTGTTTTCACCATGGTGTTGTTTTGACCCTGTCTAATGAGAGAGGAAAGCAGGGATGGGCCTGGCCTCTGCTTGGGAGCCCTGGGTTGCAGCCCACCTCAGTGTGAAAATTGGGTGGTCATTTGCCCTCCTGAGCCTCCCTTTCTCCTTTCATTACATGGGCCCAAAATAGCCCGCATCATGGATCATCCTGAAGCTTGAATGGAATGCAGTGTAGCGTACCTGGGGCCTGCCAGCCTCAGTGCTTGGTTCACCGGAGGCACTCAATATGCAGAATGTGCTCAATATACAGATGATGGCACCCACTGTCATCGTCGTCATCATCAGCATCTGTCCTCACTACCTCTCACAGTAGTTTCATGCTCAAATGACATCATAAATGGTGGAGACCTTTGAAAATCACTCAATGCCACATCCCTCAGAGGTGATAGTTATGGTGCAACCTGGTCTCTGCCCTCAAGGAGCTTACAGCCTAGCTGGGCTGCATGAGCTGAAAGGATCTATCAGTGGAAATTCTTACTGAACAGGTGAAGAGCATTCGGGTGGTAAATAAGGACCTGTTGAGTTGCCATATTAACAGTATGGAGAATATCTGTCAGAAACAGAGAGGAGGGTGCATTTGGCCACTTGCTCCCCAGACCCTCTGTGAGTGAGTGCTGGCATGGGTTCTGGGGACCTGAGTGGACACTGTCCCCCTTGCACTGAGGTTTTCTCATCCCTGGAGCCCCACCTGCAGCCATCAGTCAGAATTGATGGAGCCTGCTGGAGTGTTCACCCAAGGGCCACCAGAGCCCCACTGGCTTCCCCAGGAGGACCGTGCAGAGACTTCTGGAAGCTTTGCGATCTAAAGAGGCAGGCAGGCCATATGCAGTGGTGGCCTGATGGAGCTTGGGGATCATCCAGATGTTCACTTCTTGGTTTACAGATGGGGGAATGGAGGCCTGAGAAGGCAAGAGTCTTATCTAAGTTGGGCCTAGAGCCCAGGTTTTCTGGGCCCATTTCTCCGCACTGCATTTCTGCAAGTGGTCTTTGCTCTATGTTCCGAGAAGAGGGATGAACAGTCAGTGTTCCGTTGAGCGCAGTGGTTAAAACAGGGACTTTGGAGCCAGCCTCCTTGTGTTTAGATCCTGCCTGTGTAGCCTGGACAAGTCATTTGACCTCCTTTTGTTTATCTGTAAAATAAAGATAATAACTATCTTCACAGAGACAGTGTGAGAGTTAAATGAATTAATGTATATAAACCATTGGAACGTGGCCTGGCAAATAGGACACACTCTATAAGCATTAGCTGCTGTTACTCTGATGATAATGGTGATGATGATGGTAGTGACCGTGATGGTGATGGTGATGATGGTACTGACGGTGATGGTGATGGTGATGATGGTAGTGGCGGTGATGGTGATGGTGATGATGGTACTGATGGTGATGGTGATGATGGTACTGACGGTGATGGTGATGGTGATGATGGTACTGACGGTGATGGTGATGGTGATGATGGTAGTGACGGTGATGGTGATGATGGTAGTGACGGTGATGGTGATGGTGATGGTGATGATGGTAGTGACAGTGATGGTGATGGTGATGATGGTACTGACGGTGATGGTGATGGTGATGATGGTACTGACGGTGATGGTGATGGTGATGATGGTAGTGGCGGTGATGGTGATGGTGATGATGGTACTGACGGTGATGGTGGTGGTGATGATGGTAGTGACGGTGATGGTGATGGTGATGATGGTACTGACGGTGATGGTGATGGTGATGATGGTACTGACGGTGATGGTGATGGTGATGATGGTACTGACGGTGATGGTGGTGGTGATGATGGTACTGACGGTGATGGTGATGGTGATGATGGTACTGACGGTGATGGTGATGGTGATGATGGTACTGACGGTGATAGTGATGTTGATAAAAATCATGATGATGGTGATAGTGATATTGATAAGAATGAGGATGTTGATGATGATCATCATCATGTTGATGTCAGTGATGTTGATGATCATGATAATGTTGATGATCATAATGTTGTTCAATATTTAAAAAGGGATGAAGCTTTGCTTTTTCCAACAATTCCCAAGATCTAAAATGGCTTGGAAATGGGGTATTCTGGCTCATTGATTACTCAGATAAACCATACACATATGACATAGAGACACACAGACATGTGTGCCATTCACAGATGACTTTACCAAGAATGTGCAATAAAAAATACAAGTGACAGAAGGCTTTCCTTTTTTTCCACTAAAACTACTCCAGGGATGGCAAATGTGCTGCCCCTTCTCCCGTAGCAGACGTCAATAATCAATCACTGCACCCTCTGGACAGCTATTTCCACTTTAGATGAAACTGCGCCCCTTTATCTGCAGGTCCTGAGCTGGTGCGGCGTTGTGCAGAGGCTGAGGTTGGCGTTTTGGGGGAAACGAGTCCCCTGTCCTAGAGGTCTGATAGCCTTTGCTGTTTCCCGTGATAAGCAGGGAGGAGAGATCCTCAGCAGAGCGTGCACAGAGAACGTGGCTTCCACAGTCTCCTTAGTGCTTCACGGGAAGCAGACCCAGGTTGTGGGAAGCCCTACGTGGGGCTGACTGAGCCTC